TGTCCACAACCACAAAGTATTCCATTAACAATGTCATAAAACACACAGCTGAGAAGCTGCAACCAGCAAATTTCTGTCATATATGCTGGACTTATAATAAAAACTCAACATTGTCATCAGTGACAGTCTGCACAATTTGGTGAATGTGTAGAATTTGTGTGTGCAGAGACAATTAGCGAGTGCATTACATGGACTTTGGTGTGGTGTTTTCCGTTTTGGTGGGAAACTACGAGCAAATTACATGCGTCCTCTGTCTGTTCGCAGAGAAAGGAGACTCTTCATAGAAAACTACAGATTCAATCTGGAGATTATTCATGATTGAAAGTGCAAGAAAGAAAAAAAGAAAGAAAGATGCTTTAGAGAGGAGAGAAATAACAGGTGGGGGTTGCTGTGTGGCGTACGATAATCTAAAGCTATTCGATGGCATTAACAAAAAAAAAAAACCTAATGCAAGAATCCTCCCTTGGCGCAGCCACAGATTACAGCAGTGGGTTTGCGTGTGGAAGCTATTATATAATTCATTCTCTATGATGAGATTTTCCTCCATTGCTGGTTTTCCTTACTACCCCCCTCTATTTCTCGCACTCTGTCCCAGCACTGGCAGGTTTCTCTTTTAATTTAAGGAGAAGATGTCCGAGCCACACTGGGTTTTTTGGTGACTTTATAATCTTTTTATCCCTGTCTGGAACTAATTCATCTTCAACAGCAATTTGACGTCTTCTTTCAGTACTCAGTTAGTTTAAAACAGTCTCCGCTCACTGTCTGGATGGTGTTTTGTTGCATGTATGTGTGTGCGAGCACGCATGTGTGTGGCCATACACAATATTTGTGCACATGTGCGCACATTTAGTGCAACACTATCGCTCTGGTATTGTGAATTCTCTGCCCACTAAGCTTCTTAATGGAGTCACTACAAGGGCAAAAGCATTTCGAGTTTTTATGCATTTATTTTTTTCTCTCTCCCTCCTCTCCCTCCCCATGCCAGCTGACCACAGGTGGGCGGATTGGCAATAAATCTTTTATTTTTCATTCTGGAGGTCATCACTGATGACATGCCGTTATGATGAGAGGTACATGTGACCCGCACGCTGTCAGACTCTGGAAAGGATTAACTCTGCCCTTCGACTCCACATCTGTGCCACACAAGACTGGTAAAGCCACTGTGCGAGTGGTAGATTACCCTTCACACTGCAAACTGCCATCTAATGATTATTTGGCAACCTCTAAGGTGCAGTGGCATGGGCCTCCCCCTGGATCCACTGTCCAGTCACAATGCCATCCAGATAAACAGACTTTTGAACTGAGTTTGATTTTTATAAATCTATAGCCTACAAATAGTAGTCTTTCTATGAAATGCAGTGGATTGGCCGGAGGTAAATTCAAGTGACAGCTAGTGTCGCTTGTTGATTTTATCTAATAAATCCAGACTTGAGGGAGAGCTGCAGGTGAAATGGAGAAAAGAGGTTAAGGTGGGATTTTAAATGGAAAGCTGTTTACTGAGGCTACTGTCAGGAGAGAAGATGTATGATAAATGTCCCTGTATAACTTTTTAATCTGGCAAGAGGACTGATTAAGTAATACTGACTGAAGTTTTTAGATTGCTGTATCGTATTATACCTCTATCAAACTTTTAAAATCTTTATCCAGCCACTTGTCTACTGATATTAAAAATAAATAATCATATTACAAAATAAGATAATGCCGCAGTGTAAAATGCTTTAACAAGGATTTCACTGCAGACATACGTGTGAATCTGCCCTTATGTGGCAGTTGCCAGCAACTATATTCCTTTAAACCTTTTAATCTGTTGAATTTGTCTGTTAAACTAAAAGTATTCTGTCTTTTACACACACAGTGTCTGAGTTGTCTAGACCAGACCATTATGGCTACCGCTGCAATTGGTCCAACCTGACTGCACCAGTTGGTTTGATACACAGAACCATCATTATTGTTGGCAACTGTTTGGAAAAAGGCAGGCACTTTAAAAAAAATACACGGCAGGTGATTGGATGAACCATCTGTCTATCACCGTCTATCACAGGCAGACTTCATCCAATAAGATCAACAAACCATTAAATGTAGTCAAAACCTTACCGAAGCCAGTCGGGAGAAGAAAGAGTCACATCTTGTGCCCACCCACTGCCAGCAGTTCCTCTAAGGATGCTGATTGGTCCGGTACCACTGTAGTTTGGCCAAAAATATGCCTGGCAAGATGGATTATTGTGTGATCTCTCAAGTCCATCTGGGAGGTTAGTTGATGTAGCCGCTTTGAAAAGAGTGCGGCTTGTGCAAGTCGCAGAAATCTCTCTTTAGAGTCAATCTACCCCTTTAAAATGATTTATGTGATCAAGAGGCAGCATTTAAAGTGTCACCTTTAGTTCCTTGTGATTTGTTTGCACTTCATACACAACAACATCTCACAACACACACACACACACACACACACACACACACACACACACACACACACACACACACACACACACACAAAAGTTGCATGCCTTTTCTGCCAATGTTGCTGCCTTTATTTACACTTGAGCTGTGTCGAAAATGTTACTAAAATGTTACAGGGTCCTGAGCAGGCAGAATGCCTCTGTGACTTAAACTTAAAAATGACTCGGGGTCCTTTTCAGACACCAACATGTGGGGCAGTTATGATTTACCATTAAAGCCTGAAAGACGCTTACAGTATGTTTATTGTGAAGCTTTATCTTTTTAAATTTAAATGCTCTGTGTGTTATGCACATTGACATTTTCTCAGGAATGAATTGCTCTTCCTGCAGCATGCTCTACTGCCTATCAGCACTGCCTCCAAAGCCATTTTTATATGCCACCATCTATTGACTTGTATGCACAACAAAAACCCATAAATCCATGATAAATGTAATGAGGTCAGGTTTTGATGGGCTACTGTAATGGTGTGTATGCTGGGTTCATATGGAGTGATGACAGCGATTAATCATACTGTTATTTATGGGATTAACATTATTATAAATGGTGGTGATTAGTGAGAGTTGATCTTACAGTATGCTGGACTCAGTTTGAACTCCTTCATATCTGTGGGACTGAACTACAAGGCGAACTGCAATCCATCAACAGATTAACAGCAATGTCCAGGGCTGTCTGCAGTCTGCAGGCTTGTTCCAGACTTTGTTTAGTCACAGATTACAGCGTGAGACAGCCAACGGGCCCGCACAGACTGCAAAAAGTAAAAAGCCTGCTATCTAAAGTGCTTGCTTGGTCTTGGATCTGAAAAATAAATGAGGGATGAATAAAGTAAGAAAAGAACAAAGAGAGAGGTGTCTGCAAGAAAAAGAAACAAAACTGGAGTGTGCGTGTCTCACATCATGAAGCTCACAGACATACTAAGTCTACAGATATGCCAAGTAAGCACATCCAAGCATATTTGTAGATAGATACACAAAGAACAACTATAATCTCTGTCTCACCACACCCCTCACAGAAATAGCTCTAATCTGCAAACAAGGTTCACCTCAGGCTCACCTGTTGCTAGGGCAGTGACAGCAGAGACAGTACCTGTATTTTCTATGACAGTCAAAAACTGACTGATTGCTCTGTATGATTGTGTGGTGTGGATGTGTGTAGAAGCTCCAGTTTAAGTGAGTCTAATCTGAGGTTGCCATGGTAACTGGGCCTAATGATACAGAGGACACCCAAAATTAGACAAGACGTGTCATCTCACGCCCTTTTACCTGTAAAGACTATCACAAAACACACACACACACACACACACACAACACACACACACACACACACACACACACACACGTACAAACTCCATCTTGAATCACAGATAACCCGGCTGTGAGTTATGATCACTGACGACACGTCGAGGCTCCACTTATAACTGTTCCTCTTCTGGAGTGTTTACTCACCGATAAATGAGATTGGGGGCACTTTTCTTCTCTGGTTCTTATCAGGAGGAACAGTGACACAGTGTCCTTCTCCGTCACCAGTTCAGTTTTTTTCTCGTTTCTCTGCCTCCGTGCCTGCTCTCTCACTTCTCTATTCTGATTAAGGAGTTCAAAGTCCTTCCAGAAGCTCCCTGCTGTGATTTCAATTTCAAATCCCTCCTCTCAACCTTGACTTGTTTTCATTCTTACTTTGTATTCTCCTGTATTGCCTTCCTAATTCTCTCTTGCCCTTTTATGTAGAATTTTTAATATTGATTATATACAGTATATTACATATATTATATATAGGCCTACAGTCTCTATAGTTGTATCTTTCTCAATGGAAATGTTTGATGCATTCTCAAAAAAATAACTGATAGATGAAAAAATTGTTTTACTATGATATAATTGTACTGCTGCTGATACATTATTAAGACTTGCTCAAACCAATGGTAAGTGGTGCAGTGAAATTCATCTGTGTATAGTCACGAAAGAGGCAAACTAGTCACAATAGCCCTCCGAGCTGCTCTCTATTTTCACTGTATTGTGACTTTTACTCCATGTTGGCATTTGTCATTCCCAGGACTGTACATCATTTCATTAAATAAAGAGTCACTGAAAAATCTCCCCTAGACAGCCTGTTAACAGGCAGTTAGTGAATGTTGCAACAGCTAATAAGCAAAGGTAGCGTCCTCTATTTTGGACTCTCTGGCTCTCCATTCCCCCAAAGTCAAAATCATTAAAATTGAATTTGATACGAAAAATGTATACGGGCTTACCTCATCCCTGCGAGTGAAACCACAGATCCCTCCAATTACATTAGAAAGAATCAACCATTTTTTCCACTGCACATTTTTAATTGTCCATTTTTACTCTTTTCAGAAATGGTGATACAAAATTCTACTTTGTCTTTTATCGTTTCTTATCTCATTTCCCGCTTTCACACAATGTCCTCTCATACTCAGCACATCTATAGAACCTCTGCTGGGAAGGATATCTCAAGACATCTCATCCTTCCTGACATATAAATAAATCAATGCACATCTCTGCTTATTAACCCCATTTATCTCTCTCTTTCTCCTCCAGGATCCTGCTTACAGTAGTGGTGATCTTCCGTATCCTGATTGTGGCAATCGTTGGTGAGACCGTGTACGAGGATGAGCAGACCATGTTCATCTGCAACACCCTGCAGCCAGGCTGCAACCAGGCCTGCTACGACAAGGCCTTCCCCATTTCCCACATCCGCTACTGGGTCTTCCAGATCATACTGGTGTGCACGCCCAGCCTCTGCTTCATCACCTACTCTGTCCACCAGTCAGCCAAGCAGAAAGACCGGCGTTACTCCTTTCTCTATCCCATAATGGAGAGGGACTACGGGGGAAGGGACGGGGCTCGAAAGCTCCGCAACATTAATGGAATTTTAGTTCAACATGGCGGTGATGGCGGAGGAGGGAAGGAAGAACCAGACTGCCTGGAGGTGAAGGAGATCCCCAACGCTCCGCGGGGCCTCACCCACGGGAAGAGCTCCAAAGTTCGCCGTCAAGAAGGGATCTCCCGCTTTTACATCATTCAGGTGGTGTTCAGAAACGCACTGGAGATTGGCTTCTTGGCGGGCCAATACTTCCTTTACGGCTTTAGTGTGCCTGGGATTTTCGAGTGCGACCGCTACCCGTGTCTGAAGGAGGTGGAGTGCTATGTGTCCCGCCCCACAGAAAAAACGGTTTTCCTGGTGTTCATGTTTGCGGTCAGCGGCATCTGCGTAGTTCTCAACTTGGCCGAGCTCAACCATCTGGGCTGGCGCAAGATCAAGGCCGCCATCAGGGGCGTGCAGGCCCGCAGGAAGTCGATCTGTGAGATCAGGAAGAAGGACATGGCGCATCTGTCCCAGCCACCCAACCTGGGACGCACACAGTCCAGCGAATCAGCCTATGTCTGATGATGAAGAGCAGAAGAAGAGGAGGGGTGGGATGAATGTGCAAGAGAGAGAATGAATTAATTATTATTTTAATTTAAAAGAGATGGTGTGGTGGTCAAACAAGATGACCCCTCCTCTGCGATGATGGAATGAAACAGAATGTAAAAAGACCAAACCTCCGGCTCAGTCAAGAAAGAGTGAAGGAGATCATTAAAAAACATAGAGGGTGAAAGAGGACATAAAGTTCTGCAAAAGAACGTAATGAACATTTGGTCTCGTGGGAGGATATTCAACTGCCATTTTATACTTTTGTCTTTTTTTAAGTAATTACCGTCTCCTCTGCTCCTCATTTCTTTTAAAGAGAGGAATTAAATCCTCAAGAGGCTGGAGAAGGAAGGACTAGAAATGAGAAGAAGAGGGGAAGAGAGAGGAGAACGGATGAGAGGCTGTTTTGTATTCTTTGGGGATATTGGAAGATGACAATGGTGTTTGATGCATCCCATGGTGCTTTTCTTCTGGACTGTGTCAGCCTCGATGAAAAAATTGAGGACAGGATAGGGGATGGGACGGGGGAAGATGAGCAGAAACATTAAAAAAAAAGGAACGGAAGAACTGTCAAAGCCATGACAGACTCTGGAGAACAAAGGTGAGTTTGTGAGTAGAGAGAGAGAGAGAAGGTAGGTGGGAGACATCATGCTCTGAAAAAAAAACAAGATACACCCGAGGAGGGAGAGAAGAGAGGGAACGTTTTTCTTCCCTACGCCGGAGACTCGAGGTCGAGAAAAAGATCTGCCTCTGAGCAGTGTCAACCTCGCCTCTGTTGGAACATCGTCACAGGCCAAAACCAAGAGAAAAAGACTGACGATGTTTATGTTTTGTCTCTTGGCAAAAGATGATTTTAACACAAACACAGCGAGTACCATAAACACTTTTTTTCTTTCCTCTCCCCTATCTCTCGCTCTCTCTGCTCCGTGGTTGGCAGCTATATAGACCCCAGGGGCTTCGGATGACAGTAATGACCATCGCTGCTCCCCTTCTGTGTAAACTTTGGAGAGGAACTAATGAACAAATGGACAAACAGAGTGTAAACGTCAGTCTCTCCTGAAGCACAAACCAAACTTCTCTCCTTCCAGCATTCCAGTGTGCTGAGAGACGAAAGGAGAGACAAAGAGAGGAGAAGGCAGAAGAACAGGAGCTTGTAGAGGAGGGGAACAGATCACTTTATTACAACTTTAAACAAATTTTTATAAAATATACCACCATGAGTTATGATTTTTTTTTCTTTTTGAGAAAGCGATGGTGCCATCCTTGAGATATTTAATTATTGTTGAAAAGTAACATAGAGTATATCATGGTAATATTATTTATCCATTTAGAATATATCCAAATAGATTTATTTATCTTTGCGGGCGGGTTGGTTGGGACATCATGTTGCTGTTTTTTCAAATGTATAAACTGTCTGTCTTTTTTCATTTTTGTTTAGTTTAAAGCATTTCTAACGGATGGAACTGATAAATGACATGTATGGGGAGGGAAGGGATAAGTTTGTGAGCTTTGTTTTGAAACGCATTGAAGCTGTGCAGCTGATTGTATTGGAGTTGGAACTGTTGAATAAAATCTATATTTTACAATTGTTACTTAATTGCATTCAAAAGTCAGAACAATGCAGCTGTTAAACACAACATCTTTACGTCTTTTCTACAGCGAGTCTTGGTTTTCTTCAAAATCACCTGCACAGCTTCAGGCAGTTGAGGCCTGTGAGCCATTTGAAAAAGGCATGTTTACATGACGCAGTGTTTTTTGAATGATCAAGCTATGTAACCGATGAGTAGTAACTCTCTAGGGACAGTTGTGTTTTTGAATCTCAGTGGTTTTCATTTTGCATTTCTTTCCTGACTGGATTTCAACATGCATGCCTTGTAAGAGAAAAGACTGACACGAAAGAAAAAGATAAAGATGACAGAGAGTGTTGCACCTTGATTAATGCAGGCGAGTGGGAGAGTGGCAGACTGAAGGAACGCATGTTGGATTAAAGGCTGCGTTGCTGGACACACTGACACATACACAAGTGCATAATTTAAAACAGGGAGCTATCGCACTGCGAGCCTGTGAAACCAGACATAGGGACAGTTCAGTGGACTACATGTGGCTTCTTTTAAAAGAAAATTGAATTATTTAACTGACAGAAAAACACACACAGAAACACATTGGAGGAACATGATGTACTCCTCTGTGTGGTGGATGCTTGGGTAACTGAGACAAGCCAACCCATGCACAAAGCAGTTCATGTTTCAACTGAAATTTAAATCAGTTCCTGTTTATTTATCCTATTGTAGAGACCAAGATATTGGAGTGTTTGCAGGTACAGTGACAATCAGCTAATTGAGGAAAAATCCACAAATGCTTCTTAAACCCGTCCTCAACATACTGCAGAAGATCAGTGGTCAGTGCTTTAGCCCTGGCATTGAGGCGTGTCAACAGAGAATCTTGAATCTGAATGGCCTTATGTAGCTCAACACTGTAGTAGCTTAGCACTGCCACGCTTACAAATACACACGCACCAAAAAACGCAAATTAAAATATGATGAACATTTTAAGTGCAGCTTTAACTTGTTCACTAGAGCTGCTCTGGAAATACTTTGACACAACATGACAGTAAGTGATACTGTGTAAGCCCCTTTAAAACACACGTTAGCCAAGGCTCTTGGAGGTCTTTGAGCAACAACAGCAGCTAATGTAGAAGAAGAAATCCCCCCCAACTCTCTGTTTCTCCATTCACTCCCACTGCCATAATCTCTGTGACTCTTACAGGTGATTATCCCCAGATTTAGACTCCACTGAGGATCTCTATGGCGCTCAGTGGGGTCGGTGCAGACTACTGTATGCACTGGGAAGGACAAATACACTGACAGGAAACGCCAGAATGCCTAATAATAGAGGTTGAGTCATGGCTTCCCTTAGTTACTGAGACCCCGTGCTTATTGCGAAGACTTAATTGCTGACCTGGAGCTTAAAGGACAAGCCGATGTCCTGTACTATCAGCAGCTCCTGCTGGACAGTCACTGCAGGATAGCACGGATCTAATCTCCGCAGAGCACAGGTCAATGCTAGTGTGAGGCCTATTTTCCGTGAATAGTGAGATACAAACAGGCTGAACATACATTCATTCTAGGAAAAAAAGCAAATGTGACTGTGAGAACAGCAGTTTGAGTTCCTTTTCCTCCTCCTGGATTCTGTTGTTATGTCTGGTTTCATTCAGATCAGTAAAACGTACACACACAATGCGAGGACGGAGAGGGCCATAAATGTGTCCTGGTTTGCTTTGGCTAACATTTATCCAGCATTCATTAGTGATTCACGACGTATACAGTCAGTCGGTACATCACTTTTTCAAGTAAAAGCAGGCCCCAGTTCTTCCAACAGTCCACTACTCCCCACAGTCTACTTTTCTATTTGTCAATGTGAAATGAATTATGCAACTTATTTTTTTCTCATTTGCTTATCTTTTTGACTTGTGGATTCATTTTGTTGTCTGTTGCTCTTTTTGTGCAGTGACATATCAAAAAAAGAAAGATGTTTTTTCTATGTAAAGGAACAAAAAGTTTTTTTTTTTTTTTCAATGTGTAAAATCAAGGGTAGAATGTTGAAATATAAGACTAGCAGAAAAAAATATATTTCCTCCCTTGCCAAAGTGATATGCAAAATTAATTTTCAAAGATTTTTTAACTGCATGTGTAATGGCTAGAATAAGCATGTTTCTATGTTTTCTTCAACAGAATCTTTAAAGAAAGACTTTTTTTAGTCCAAACTATGGAGCGAAGCTATTACGTCTTGATGCCAAGTGTATATTAATTACCCAGTTGTTCAGACAGTACAGAGCCAGGCAGACAATACCAACTCAGTGATGTTAAAACTTCCTATTACAGCGTATCAGTCTCAGTTTCACCTCCCAAAAGAATCTGAAAACCACTACATACAGTGAATCTTCTACTTTAAGAAATTTGCACTTGAATATATACCTTTATAATCTATTATAGAAGATGTTTTGAATCTATAAGCAAATCAACAAGCAAACGATCTACTGTAAAACACAGGGTACACAGGAATATAAGCATACAGGTTAAAGACTGGCACCATGAGATGCCAGACGCCACAACATTCCAGGGTTTAGCCCCCAGCACAATGTGTAATTAACCTGCAATTTACAGCCTCTTTAATGTGTTAAATATGATTAACTCCTCAGTGAAGCTCCTTATGGACAACTTATTGGGGTACAGTACACTGACAGCAGACTCAGGAAAGAAAACAATGCTGATCTTTTACACCAATCTTTTCTAGTAAAAATGCTGTTTCTACACACAAAACACACAAAATCGCTTTTATAGAAATGGCATTACAACATGTCAGCATACTTTCCATTTACCATCTTACCTTGTACTGTAAAGCCCACCCAAGAAAATTGTCTTCAAGTCTGATTATTTACCCGTTGGTGCTATTGAGGTTGGACTCTTTACCAAAAACGTGAATTCTGATACATTCCCTTGTCTTCAGCACACTACTGCCCCACATACAACAGGTCATGTAGCAATGCAGGTCTCTTTAAAAATCAAGCTCTTACTCCTGACTGTTACTAACAAATGGACATGTCCGCAAAATCCTACAGCATGCGACTCTCCACAACCTCTATACTGCAGAACAGTAGCAAACAATTCGATCCCTCAGGAATGCAGCATGTGATTGAGCTGTTTCATTCATTAACACAGAGCTCACTGAACTACCACATTATTCTTTATACTGCTGCCTAAAGGACCTTAAATGAATTTAGTAATCACATTATGTAGCCAATCCTAAGGGCTGGTTGGTGTCCCTTGAATAAGTTACGGAAGCACCTCTCTTTTTCGTTAAAGGGCTTCTTACTTATGACAAACTGAAAAGCCATAGATTTAAAAGAAGAAAGAGATTTCAAACTTTACTTGGTGCATTAGTTTGAAAGAATACAACGTGCACTCCTGGGCCAAGATTAATCACGTTCATGTGTAGTCAATTAGGCGATCATTTTTGCATTCAAATTGAAAATTAGACATCTTGTTTCAAGTGAAAAGCTTTTTACTCTTTTTAATTGAATGAGAAAAATGTAAGTTATAAAGCTCCTTTTATCCAGATGTCTGCTTTAATTTTCATTTCATTCTAAAATAAAATGCTCCCTCCTCCCCCCTCCAGCACTGTCTGATACTGGTGCTGCTGTCCTGCGGGCTGGATTATAACCATTTCAGGGTTCAGAGAAGGACCTCTCAACCTCTCACTAATCTGTCATGATATCAATCGTGATTACTTCATCTAATTACACTGAGTGGCAGATACAGGCAGAGTGGAATTTAAACCACTTCCGGATTTGACCAAATACCCCCCACCCGTGCATCGCTCTGCAATCACCTACTGGCAGCAGGTTTGTGGGCGTGAGATTATGACCTGAGATAGCTCCAGTTTGTGTCTTTAAAATTCATCATTGCCAGACTGTTGATTCATTTAAATTGAACTGGAAAAGGGGTGGTCATGAACAAGTGAGACAGAGGAAGAGAATACTTATGGTTTGCCTCTCACCTTTCCACTTCTCCCCCAGCACCTCATGGGCAGGCACCAGGTCACCTTTACTTCAAGATGTGTTTCTGTAAACAGTGTGAGAAGCTAAATGTTACAGTGAGAGGGGTGAAACCTGAATGGTGTCAGAGGAGTGGGGGAGCAACGTCAAATTTAGCCAATATTTGGCATCCTATAGTGGTAATCAATATTTAAAGGGTTAGAAAGGGAAAACAATTCAGTATCTTAGTCCTAGAAACTTGTCATTCTTCAGCATAGCTTCTACTGTGACATCTGTATGGATGTGAAAGCATGGACTGAAAACAGGAACGATGAAACAAACACGCAAACACACTTCACTCTTTGTAAACTAAAAATCTGTTGTTTCCGACTGCAGATTTTATGATGTACCTGACGGACCTTCGTTGAAGGTTCACTGTATATTTCTGACTGGTGTACTGTATGTAAAGACTGAATAAAACCTTGAATGTTACATCAAGCCTGAACTGGCCTCGTGCCTGCTGATTTATGGCCTGAAAGCGTGTGTGTCCATACAGTACAGTACAGTGTGTGTGATGTGTGTGTATAGAAAACGTGAGTGGGTGGATACTTGAGCATGTGGGAGTGACGGGATTTGGGAAATAAAAAAGCATTCTGTGGTGTGAAGGAAAACGAACAATGGTGGCTACAATTCACTGATACGGGTCTATATATAGCTGCCTGGGAACAATATTTGCAGAGAGCTGCACGCAGCCCAGCTGGTTGGCGTAATGACATTTCTGAACTCAATAGGTGACACTGAAACCTTTCAGCGGGATTAAAACCTTTAGACCATGGCACTGATGTGAAAAGAGGAAGCATGTATGTGTCTCTCTCTCTCTCTCTCTCTCTCTGTGTGTGTGTGTGTGTGTCTGTCTCTGTGTGTGTGAGAGAGCACAGTCATATTTTCTTTCAAACCCCTCTCATTGAATGCAGTTTATGTGTGTGCACAACAAAATACTGTATGTGCATCATAATATCTGTGTATTCTGGTGTGTGCATGTTGTGTGCATGAGTGTGTGTGTGTGTGTGTGTGTGTGTGTGTGCACCCGCGTGCATGTGTGTGTCCAACCCCCCACCCACCTTCCTCAGCAAGGTCACATGGTGGCTGCGCTGGACTGGGATTGAAGGCTTGTTGCCACGGCGATAAGCCAGCCGGTAATATCTCTAAGCACAGCCAGGATTAATCTACCGACAGATGGCTGGCCGCTCAGCGTCACTTCCTGAACACACACACACACACACACACACACACACAGGATTCATATTCACCATCATCATCCTCACCATCATTGTCCTCTTATCTGTTAACATTTCCATCACCTTCACTTCCCATTGCATGCAATCACAAACACACACACAGGGAACATTTTCCTCACGCCAACACCATTATCAAAGCCATCCACCCTGGCTGCATCATCTATAGTATTATCATGACTGCAGCAGCCTTCATCATCGCCATCATTACTCATCATCCTCGCCATGACCATCCTCCTCCTCACCTACCACAGCCACCACTCCTCTTCTCTTTATCATTATATCCATTACAACCTCTATCATCTAAAACACCACCGTCATTACGGAAAAATGCCCCCGTCCTGCAGGGATCAATACACCAGGCAGCGGTGGAATTACCCTGTGTGCCTCGGGCATGCAGCTCATTCATTTATCAACACAGCCTCATGATAAAAGAAGCAGGGCCTTAGTTCATGGTTCAGGGAGTCTGCACCTCATCCACACAAAGACTTCTTGATTTACTTCCCAGAATGTAGAGTTCAGCCTTTATTGTAATTTCTCAGCATTTGCATACAGGGATTGTCTTCTGCATTTGACCCATCCCATACACTAGCAGTTGCTGAAGGACACTTAAAAACACAGAGAGAGGAAGACAGGAAATCAAACAACCAACACTGGGCAGTATGAATGCTAAAATCCCATGTGTGGATAATAGCTGTGATCCTTTAACCTGATTGTAGTCAGATCTGAGAAATGAAGGTAGCTGTATGGTTACATAAGTGAACTGTATTTGTCCTTACCAGCTTCTGTTGAGGGTTAACAAGTTTGTTCATAAAGCCGGCAGGTGATTGGTGCTGCGTTTTCCTACAGTACAGTGAATGATGTAACAAAATGCAACAAGAATCACCAGTGCTTTGCATCAGACACATGCAGAGGAAAAGTGGTTCAACTGCCCTGTTTAGCTGAAGGGCTCCTCTGGACCAAAGAATAATGAATAGTTATCTTTTTAATTACTACACTGGCAGTACTGTATTTACTGCTGTTGTGCTTCATAATAATACTGTAATGAATTATTTGTCTTCAGTGCCAGCGTTCATTTCTTCAGTGACTGAGTTGTGTGTGAAGGAAAATGTTGTCAGTTGAGTGTGATACTGACAACTGAGCAAACTCCACCCACTGATGAAGACAGTAAGGTGCAGCTGAAGAAGCTGGGAAGTAAGGCAACATGTTTTTCCCGGCTGTTCATTACATTTCTAAACAAATATTTTTTTGTAGTTATAATTGGTGTTTAATGTGCTCTTTCCACAAAAATGTTCAATTACCTATTAAAAACTTTCCTAAAGGACCAATGTGTAGGATTTAGTGGCATCTAGTGATGTAGTCGCAGATCTAAATGTTACACACTGGACCTTTAAAGTCACATCTAAAGAGATTAGTGAGCACAGAGAAACATTCCCTCTTCAGCCTTCTAGTATCAAACTCAAGCTCAAACAACCAAGTGAAAAATCTATGAGCAAAACACATTTTTGAGTGGAGTGGGGCTTTAAGTAGGTTATCCAGCGGTTATAATTAGTTTTTGTGTTTGCCTGAAACTAAGATCATACTGTGACTGTTTCTTAATTAGTTCCTGTAATCAGTGAGAGCACCCTGCATGCAGCTATATTTTTGTTTGATTACACGGTCAGGATTTTGGCAGACTTCTCACAAAAACATTTATGACTACAAAATTTGGGACTCAAATTAATTAATGGATGAGGTAACTAATGCACACCAGCCCACTCTGAGCTCAAACCAGCATGAGAGAGAGGTGATATATAATGCCTATAAAAAGTATTCACTTATTCACTAAGATATTTCACGGCTGTGGCTCAGAGGCAGAGCAGGTCGTTCCTTAATCAAATGGTTGTAGGTTCGATCCCCGGCTCCTGGTGCCACATGTCAAAGCATCCGTGAGCAAGATAATGAACCCCAAACTGCTCCTGAGGCTGTGCATCAGTGTGTGAATGAGTGTGAAAGGGTGAATGTGGCAAGTAGTGTAAAAGTGCTTTGAGTGGTCAGAAGACTAGAAAGGCGCTATACAAGTACAGGTCCATTTACCATTTGTTTCTTTTATACATGAAATCATGGTCAATATAATTTGGCTTTTTTTGACAAGAATTTGCAAAAAAAACCCTCTTTAATATCAAAGTGAAAACGGATTTTTACAAACTAATGTCAATTAATTAAAAATATATAAGGTAAAGAAAATGATTGCATAAATATTCACCCCCTTTAAATTGACTGACCTAATTCAACAGAAGTCCAGCTAGTTGATGCCAGCAGTGTCACAATTAGTGAAATGGAGATCACCTGAGTTCAGCTGATGTGTGTCAAATGATTGTAGTATAAAAAACACCTGTGTCTGTGCCTGTGTATTCTTACTACAATTGCAACATGAAGAAAAAAAAGAACACTCCAAGCAACTCAGAGAAAAGATCATTGAAAAGTACAAGTCAGGAGATGGCTACAAAAAGATTTCCAACTCACTGGACATCCCACGGAGTTCAGTTAAATTCATCATTCAGAAATGGATGGAGTATGGCACTTGTTTAAATCTGCCTAGAGCTGGCCGTTCTCACAAACTGAGTGACCGTGCAAGAAGAAGACTGGTGAGGGAGGCCACCAAGACACCTACGACCACTCTGAAAGAGTTAAAGGCTTCAGTGGCTCAGATGGGAGAGACTGTACATACAACTGTTGCCTGGGTTCTTCACCAGTCGAAGCTGTATGGGAGAGTGGCAAAGAGAAAGTCACTGTTGAAAAAATCTCATATGAAATCTCACCTAGAATTCGCCCAAAGGCATGTGCTAGACTCCAAGGTCAATTGGAAGAAGGTTCTTTAGTCTGATGAGACAAAAATTGAGGTTTCTGGCCATCAGACTAGACGCTATGTTTGGCGAACGGCAAACACCAAACACTGCACATCACCATAAACGCACCATCTCCACCGTGAAGCATGGTGGTGGCAGCATCATGCTCTGGGGATGCTTCACAGCAGCAGGCTCTGGAAGGCTTGAAAGGTAGAGTGGAACATGAATGCAGAAAAATATCGCCAAATCCTGGTGGATCATCTGACTGCAAGACAACGACCCCAAGCATACAGCAAAAGCTACACAGAAATGGTTCAAAGACGACAAGGTGAATGTTCTGGAGTGGCCAAGTCGAAGCCCAGATCTCAATCCAATCGAGAATTTGTGGCTGGACTTGAAAAGAGCTGTTCACGCCCGATCCCCGAGCAACCTGACAGAGCTTGAGCTGTTTTGCAAGGAAGAATGGAGAAAAATAGCAGTGTCCAGATGTGCCAGCCTGATTGAAACATATCCACACAGACTCAATGCTGTAATTGCAGCCAAAGGTGCATCTACTAAATACTGACCTGAAGGGGGTGAATATTTATGCAATCATCTTCTTTACCTTATATATTTTTAATTAATTGACATTAGTTTGTAAAAATCGGTCTTCACTTTGATATTAAAGAGGTTTTTTTTTTTTTTGCAAATTAAAATTATATTGACCATGATTTCATGTATAAAAGAAACAAAAGGGTGAAACATCCAAGGGGGGTGAATACTTTTTATAGGCATTGTAGAGGAATAACTGTAACCATGTGCTGCATCTCTCACTATCACAATTCATCTTAATGAAATGAGTTCAACCAACCGACCTGTCTGGTCAAACTACCTTATTAGCTGTGTTGTAGCACCCAGTCTCATACAATCACGCTATGCCAAATGCAAATATGCTTTTTTTTTTTTTTTTTTTTTTTCTTCATATGCTTAAAACAAAACTAGCCTCAACCAATGGCAGCCAGGGCATAAGTCACATTACCAAGCTTCCTGCACCACACCGGGATGCGTGACTCACTTTTCCTGTGCCTTTTCAGCGTGACTGGGTACTAATATGTAACCTCAAACCCTTATAGTGCCATATTATTTGGGGACATTTTCGATGCTCTTATAATTTCTTTAGAAGTATTCATGCTCAAAATTGTGAAAAACTAATATTAATATCAGACGGCATTAGATACCTTGGAGCTCACACGGTAGCTGTTTGACACAATAGCAGGCTAATTCTTGACTGTGGTTTGATAAGATGAATGAAGCTTCATACTGGGTGTTGCATATTGTTTCCAGTGACAGTGACCTTAAAGAAAGGCAGACAAACAGCTGAGAGGGAGCTGAAAGGTTTCAAA